ATGCAAAAGAATCCCAAGGGATGATGGATGAGCAAGACAGAGAAATGAGGAGGAAACTGAAAAAGGAATTAGAGGAGACTTTGTTGAGGGAGATCTCTTGGAGACAAAAATCCAGACATAAGTGGATCAAGGAAGGGGATGGGAATACCAAATTCTTTCATGCTTTGGCTAATGGGAGGAGGAAAAATTTGATACTAAAGCTTGAGGTTGATGGTGTGGATATAACCTCTTGGCGACTGGAGTAGGAGAGGGAAAGATTGAAGCAACAGAGGGAGGTAATATATTCTATCTTCTTTCATTTGACTTAGGTTTCTTTCTCTTATTTTATTGTTTATCTGGAGTTGCAGATTTGGGGAGGAAAATCGATGACAAAACAGAGGAAGTCAAAGAATCAGTTGAAGAAACTGAGAAAAATCAATATGTTGCGTGAAAAACGTCTATAAAAGAAATGGACCACATTGAAAACAAAATAAAGGATGAAAACGTGGATTTGTTGAGAGAAACAAGGGAAGTGAAGAGAGAAATAGGGGAAATGAAGAGAGAAATGAAAGATTTTGCAAGAGAAATGATTGAAGAGATGAAAGAGATGAGGAAGACGACAGTGAAAACGACGGTCACCACATTTGTTTCATATACTGCAGTGGTTGTAGTTGGAGTTGCAGTTTTATACCAGAAAAAGTTTTAGTGAGATCCTGATGTGAAGAACTTTACTTCACTCAATAATTTTCTACCTGGTATGATGCTTCCATTTATTGAACTTTTGTTGTATCTCTTGCTTTCTCTTGTTAGAGATAGAGAAAAGTATGACTTGAGATGGGGAACAATGCCACATTTTTAATATAACATTAATTTGATTAACTTCTGTTCATTACTGTTGGTATTTTTTTTTCCAGTTAAATAGATTGGGAGAGAACAAGGGGAAAGAAATACAGTTTCTTTTAAGTTCCAAAATTCTAATAAAATGAGTGGTTACTTGGACTCTTAAAAGAAACCAGATTTCAGTGTTAAAACATTTCAGAACGTTAAAAATTCAGTGATAGACAGGATAAGTGTATTTTGCTCGATTGACTCCTCAATTGGAAGATTTTAATGTTCCGAAATGTTTGTCATTGAATACTTAAAATCATGGTTTTTAAAACCAAACCGGTGACCGAACTGGTCAGGGGTCCAGTTACCGGGTTGAACGGTCTGACTGTTCGAACCGAATACTTGGCCCATTCTGACAAAAAAATAAAAAAATTCGAAAACATAAAAAACGGTCATAACCATTCGAATGGTTAATCGCCCGGTTTAGCGGTTCGCTGACCAAAATCAACGGTTTTGGGGGGAAATCTGGTTTTAGGGAAAATGGAACCGGTCACCCCAGTTTTTCCGGTCTGACAATTTGGTCCGGTCTGGTTTTGAAAACCATGCTTAAAATCTTCCAATTGGGGAGTCAATCGAGTAAAGTACACTTATCTTGTTTGTCACTGAATTCTAAACGTTCCGAAATGTTTGAACATTGAAATCTGGTTTTTCTTAAGAGTCTAAGTCACGATTCATTTTAATAGAATTTTGAGACTTATAAGGAAACGATCTTTCTTTCCCCTTGTTCTCACTCAATATATTTAACTGAAAAAAACACCAATAGTAATGAACAAAAGTTAATCAAATTAATGTTATATTAAAAAATGTGACATTGTTCTCCATCTCAAGTCATATTTTTTCTCTATCTCTAACAAAAGGAAGCAAGAGATATACAACAAAAGTTCAATAAATGGGTGCATCATACTAGGTAGAAAATTATCGAGTGAAGTAAAGTTCTCTACATCAGGATCTCACAAAAACTTTTTCTGGTATAAAATTGCAACTCCAACTACAACCACTGTAATATATGAAACAAATGTGGTGACCGTCGTTTTCACCACCGTCTTCCTCATCTCATCTCTTCAAGCATTTCTCTCGTCAAATCCTTCATTTCTCTCTTCATTTCTCCTATGTATCTTCACTTTCCTTATTGCTCTCAGCAAATCTGCATTTTCATCATTTATTTTGTTTTCGATGTAGTTCATTTCTTTCATAGATGTTTTTCACGCAGCATATTGTTTCTTCTCAGTTTCTTCAATTGATTCTTTGACTTCCTTTCCTTTTTCGTCGATTTTCCTCGAGATCTTATTTCCATATGCTGCTCCAGTCGCCAAGAAAGATAAACGATAAAGTAAGAGAAAGAAAACTTAAGTCAAACGAAAGAAGATAGAATATATTATCTCCCTTTGTTGCTCCAGTCGCTCCCTTTCCTATTCCAGTTGCCATGAAAAAAAAAACGTAAGAGAAAGAAAAGCTTAATCAAACGAAAGAAAAAAATGTAAGAGAAAGAAGAGCTTAATCAAACGAAAGAAGATAGGGTAGACATAATAGACAGACTCATTTTATAAGTAGTTGTTGGCTCCTGTCTAAAGACGGTTCGGTCTGTTTTATTTAGTTTTGCCAACCGAATCGATGCTACCAATTTGTCTATTTTATTAATTGAGACCGACTGAGATGCATATCAAACCAATGTTATAAAAAATGACCCAAAACTGGAACCGTGCTGATGAAAACCGACCCGATATATCGGTTTATGAATTTGCCCAACCCGAAACCGATCGGTGCTGATGAAAACCCGACCGACTCGGGTTGGGTCGGGTTGGGCCTTCTTATGAATGGCCCTAATCAATATAATAGTAGAATAATAATAGGGATTCGTAACTAGCGAAACAAAGCATATTAAATAATGCGAATCTTGGCAAAAATAGCAACATAACTAAGAGGAAAAACGGTATGTCAGGAGAAGTTTCTTAGCTTCCTCGTTCAAATCGACTTCAAATATGGGGAAACCACATAGTGCGAATGAGGCAGTAGCATCATCAGTAACACAAGAAAGAAAAAAAAAGAAATAATCAGTTATTCCCAAAAATTTATGAACCAATACAATATTTCATGATGAATTCGAACAACAATAAAATAAATCAAAACAAGGAGAAAACGATGGGATTGTGGATTGGCGTCGACCTCTCAAAAATTAGATTTTTCAATGCCTCACCTTCGATTCCGGCAACCAGTTGTTACTGATTGGCCGATGGCAAAATGGTGCAGAAAACAAAGAAAAAAAAGAAAACTAACAAAGGAAGATTTAGGAGTAAGAGGACCTACCTGACTGCATTTTGGCCTGCGATGAACGCTGTAACATGGACCGAGATCGTGTAGCTCCTAAACTCTGACGAAAAGTTTGGCGAAAAAATAGCTTACGGGTGAATGTTTTAGTTACAAGTTAAGACTCAGAGACTTTACTAACTTAGCAAAGATGTACTAGTTGAATGTTTTAGCTACAAGTTAAAATGGGGTAGTTTCTTTTATATTGTCAGGTATCAAAGAAAGTTTGGAATTCGGAATTCATAAAGGAGTTTCCGTAATTGACTTGGAATTCAAAAGGCAATGGTCTTTGGCAGTTGGATCATTATTTAACAAAGGCAAGAGACATCCTGAACATGATGAATGTAAACCTAGTCTTGATTCCCAAGGAGTTCAGTTGGTCTCAATTCTTGTCTAGAAGAACTGATGAAAGTGTTAGATGTTAAATCCAATGATGTCCGAGTTGTGGGACTTGTTGGAATGGGTGGGATTGGCAAGACAACTCTTGCCAAGGCCGTTTTTAATAAAATGGTCTCTCAATTTAAGCATCACAGCTTCATTTTTAACATCAAAGAAACTTCAAGGAAAGGGTGCAATTGAGTTTCACTCCTTTATGAATTCCGAATTCCAAACTTTCTTTGATACCTGACAATATAAAAGAAGCTGCCCCATTTGAACTTGTAGCTAAAACATTCAACCTGTACATCTTTGCTAAGTTAGTGAAGTCTCTGAGTTTTAACTTGTAGCTAAAACATTCACCCGTAAGCTATTTTTTCGCCAAACTCTTCGTCGGAGTTTAGGAGCTACACGATCTCGGTCCATGTTGCAACGTTCATCTCAGGCCAAAATGCAGTCAGGAGGTCCTCTTACTCCTAAATCTTCCTTTGTTAGTTTTCTTTTTTTTTTCTTTGTTTTTCTGCACCATTTTGCCATCAGACAATCAATAACAACTGGTTGTCGGAATCGGAAGTGAGGCATCAAAAATCTAATTTTTGAGAGGTCGACGCCAATCCACCGTCCCGTCGTTTTTTCCTTGTTTTGATTTATTTTATTGTTGTTGGAATTCATCATGAAATATTGTATTGGTTCATAAATTTTTGGGAATAACTGATTATTTCTTTTTTTCTTTTATTTCTTGCGTTACTGATGATGCTACTGCCTCATTCGCACTATGTGGTTTCCCCATATTTGAAGTCGATTTGAACGAGGAAGCTAAGAAGCTTCTCCTGACATACCACCGTTTTTCCTCTTAGTTATTTTTCTATTTTTGCCAAGATTTGCATTATTTAATATGCTTTGTTTCGCTAGTTACGAATCCCTATTGATATTCTACTATTATATTGATTGTGTGTGCTGATTTAACATCTAACCATTCTCCCTCTTGAAACTAAAATTGAAGTAAAAGATGTTGAATTATTGGGTACTAGGGAGATGTGGTCGGAGGTGGCTATCGGGTTCAGGTTCTCACTCATCGGAGGGTCATTCATGATCTTTTTCCCTATTAATGCATTACCTGTGGATGATGTCAGTAAATGTATCAATGTTATCAAACAAAAAATTCATGAAAGGCCTGATCTTGTTGTTCTGGACAATGTTGATGATGTGAGAGAACTTGAGGCTTTAGCTGGTGGGAGAGAGTGGTTTTGTGATGGAAGTAGGATTATTATAACCACAAGACATAGACAGTTATTAAAGGACATTGTAAATATAACCTATGATGTTAAAGAATTGAATGAGAGTGAGTCTCTCAAACTCTTCAGTTACCATGCCTTTGGGAGGGAGAAGCCTCCGGAAACTTTCATGTGTTTTACTAAGGAAATTGCATTACACACGGGAGGATACATTACAGAAGTTGAGAAAGATTCTTCCAGATGACCTCCATAATTTGTTAAAGATCAGTTATGATGCATTTGATGAAGAGAATAAACGGATGTTCATTGACATTGCATGTTTCTTTTCTAGCATGGACATGAGCAGAGAAAGTGCTATTAATATATTTAAGGGCTGTGGTTTCCATGCTGAGACAGCAATGACAGAACTTGCAATGCAGAGAAAGTGCTATTGATTTAAGATAGAGAAGATTTAAATGATATCAGAAAGAAAGTGAACTAGAAGTTAGGTTAATCCAATGTCTCCAAGGCAAACCAACAAGTTTTGACCCCAGAAGTTTGGCTGCAAGAAAAGTGATTACAACATCAATGTTTCTGTGAACTAAAAATTCAATAATGAACTTTTATCTATTTTTATTCTTTAGACTAGTTAACTATATTCTCAGGCAATTATTTTTGATGATTAACATCAATTATATTAATAAGATATAAGAACCCGAGTCTGTCCGGAATGGACAGAAGGAGGGGAAGTACAAAGATAACACAAATCTGAACACACACAAATATATACATAAGACAGATTACAAAGGGATCCCTGGCCCAGGCCAACCCCATTCACACCAGCTCAAGTTAAACTTTCAATTAGGGATTGGGTTCAGCATCAATGAATTGATAATAAATTTTGGCCTTGGGGGTCCTTGTTTGTTTTCCTGTGAATGTCTATGTGCATTGGTCCTTCATCGTTGACCTGCCTAAAATTCTACTGCTCATATATGGTTTTCATTTTCGTTTTCCATGTTGGGAGATCATAACATGTATATTTCATGCAACAAGAAATAAATCTGTAAAAGTTAGGATAGGTTATATGGAAAAAGGAGGGGGGGGGAGTAAGCAAGAGTATGTAGCAGAAAACAGACATTTTTTAACCAGATAACAGACAAACTTTACTGGGTTTATCACTTCACACGACCAGAGAGAGAGAGAGAGAGAGAGGGAAGGAGAGAAGAATTTAATGAAGCCCTGGAGATATGACAGATTGAGAACAAATACTTCTTTGAATTTATACCAATACTTTTGTGTGTAGTCTTTCCTTAGATCCTCAAACTCTTTGGAATTGGTTTTCATGCAGACATGAGAAAACAGGATTGTGCATCTATATAGAAGTATGTAATTGAACTTTATAAATCATTTCTCAACTACTTGAGGTCAGGAGCAATTAATCCTGTTTTGCCATTCCATTCCATCAAGTTCTTGTCTCGGTTAACCTATGGGTCCTCAGATGTTTCCTCAGTACATCAACCCACAAGTGTTTTAGTCTCCTCCAACCTCTCCTTTAGAGTCTCTAGTTACATGGGGTCCTTTTACTGCTGTTTGTAGGTTGATGGCAGAATATGCATCTTATGCTCAAATTACTCGTGAGGTGATACAATGCCTCTCCTGCTTCTTTAACCCTCAAGTTGTATCGGGTCTTCGTACTGCTGTTTGAAGGTCAATAGTAGAATATGTTTCCTATGCTCAATTTACTAATGAGGTGACACAGTGCTCTCGAGATTCACCAATGCTACAACAGCTCTCTCTAAACACAATCCAGGAAATAGTACTCCCCCCAGTGGGATTCCCCACCATTTGAGCAGGTCAACAGTGAATTGGCTGCAAAATTGAATGAAAATCTGTCATAATCTCCCGGGCTTGTTTCAGTATCATCTAGTTTCAGTCAAAGTGATGTTTTCAATAGCATCTCAGAAAACTACGTGGATACATCTGTAAACAATCCTATCAATGAAGACAGGTAAATCATATAGGTACAATGATAGACATAATGAAAGCTGTTGGATTGTAACATGAATTAATTTATGAGATTTTACAAATATTAACAGAAATTATAATTTGAGTTTGATGCAACTTGAAACTTGAAACTTTACAACAGGGATACTGGAAAAAAGTAGAGGATTTGGATTTGTCACAATGAGCAACATTGAAGATGCTAACAGAGTCTTTGAAAATATTGATGGAAGTGTAAAAACTCTCTCTCTATGATAATTCTCATCTTCCATTCATTAAGGCTATATCATCTGTTAAAAACTAAATAGATGTTTTCAGATAAATTTCCATATCAACTTTTATTTGAAGCTTTCAGATAAACACGTTTATCATGTGATACCTCTAGTGACTTCTATATGTATATGAAATGCTTATTGATCAAGTATATAGATTTCATTTGTTTCTAGGATGTTTATTTGTTTAGTGCTCCTTTCTTTCCAAATTCTAAGTTCCTAGACTGAAAATGCAACCAGAATAAAATATTTGATTTCAGGAATACTGTGGGCAGACACTGAGAGTGAACTTCTCGGACAAACCAAGGCCTAGAGAACCTTTGTATCCTGAAGGTGAATACAAGCTTTTTGTTGGGAACTTATCATGGTCAGTCACATCGGAAAGTTTGACAAGTGTTCCAAGAATATGGAAATGTGGTTGGAGCAAGGGTTCCCGTATGATGGAGAGACAGGTAGATCTTGTGGTTATGGCTTTGTATACTACTAATCAAAGCCAGGGATGGAAGCTGCGCTTGAATATCTTAATGGAGTGGTACTCTCTCTCTCTCTCTAAAACACAAACACACACATCCGGACAGAATCTTTGCTTTGGTTCTCCTATTATTTCTTTGTAGAATTTACTTTTATCATGGGCTTGTAGGAGCTGGAAGGGCAAGCAATGCGTATTAGCCTAGCACAGGGCAAGCTATCTTGAATGGAAAAGCATGCTATAGATTTGGAAATGATCAATCCCTTTTCATTTCTTGCTTTCCATAATGCATTTCCACAATTACCTTGCAGCTTGTATAAGTTAGAAGCTTTCCTTGTAGAAAATTTATTAGTAATTTTCAGTAATGATCAAAGTGGTTTTACATAGCCAAATCATAGATTTGCTGATAAAAATCACTAAGCTTCCTAGACGAATAAAAATATACTAGTTTCTTTCTTTTACTTGTGAATTTTTTGGGCCTGAATCCTTTAATGATTTCAAAATTTCAATTTTATTCCCTTTGTTTGCATCTAATACACAAAAGGAATGTTGTAAAGGTGATGCCAAATTACTAACTGACAGGCAGGTTACTAATGCATGCTCATATGCTACATGTGTGTATTTCCCAAGAATATATGGAGGAAGAAGGGAAGTTCTTGTACATAGGTAAGCTTAATTTTCTCTGTGGTTCTTGCAGGAGCTTTTGATGGTGTCCTTGAGCTTCTTGTTCGTGCTGGGAGAAGTCTCCCTGAAGCTATCATGATGATGATACCTGAAGCATGGGAAAACGACCAGAATATGGATCCAGATAGAACTACCTTGTATGAATACTTCTCAGCTCTTATGGAGCCATGGGATGGACCTGCGCCCTTATTTCATGTAAGAGATGTTACGAGATTTGGTACTACATAAATTTCCTTCTCAACTTGTGCTATAACCTATGTTGAAAATTTGTAGTTACTGATGGCCGCTATCTGGGAGCCACATTGGATTGCAATGGACTGCGTACTGGTTGCTATTATATTACACACAGTGGGAGAGTTATCATGGCAAGTGAAGTTGGTGTTGTAGACATCCCCCTTGAAGATGTCTGCAAGAAGGGAAGGCTAAACCCTGGAATGATGCTTTTAGTAGATTTTGAAAAACATATCGTTGTAGATGATGCAACTCTGAAGAAGCAGTATTCCCTAGTAAGGCCGTATGGGGAATGGCTGAGAAGTGTTTGAAGCCTTGGGCCTTTCATCTGAGGTGATCCAGATGTGTTTCAAAGGGACTCCAAGTAGAGTTAAAGGTGCAACATTTGAAATGCTTGCTCTGGATTATGCTCTCCAATTACATGAGATGGCATTTCCTACTCAAGCTATGCCTCCTGGAAGTGCAGAGGCTGTTGCGCTGCCTAATCCTGGAGATTACCTGGAGAAAAGGTGGAGAAATTCATTTTAATGATCCTCTTGCTAAGGCAAAGCTGCGAGAGGTTGCTAGATCAAAGTTGCAGTTAAGATCTGAACTTATTCAAACTTAGTTCTTTACACCTGGTTCATCTTTGCATCCATTTGAGAGAGGATTCAATCAAGGAACATAAAGCTAGGCAACCACTTAGATAACTTTGAGAGGAGGAAACCAACCACAAGTGTTTTGAGTTTTGAGAATGGATGATGAAATTTGTATTAGAGATTAATGTATCAATTTGAAACTAAGATATATATTAATTTGTAAATCAAATGTATTAATTTTTTTGGTAGAAAAATATTTTGAATGTAAAATGGATCTTTTAAATTGCATTTATATTGATTTTTGTATTTCATTCTAATTTAGATGAATGTATACAAAACAAGTTATTTGAAACAAAGCATTAATAATTTAAAAAGAAATTATGGATTATGTAAAAAAAATGATTTAAAGAAGGCCATGGCTGCTGCCAAAATAAAGTTTAGAGCAGCAGCCGAATCAGTATCAGTGGCAGTCATGGCTACTTTTAGCGGCAGTCGATTCAGTATTAGCGGCGGTCACGACTACCGCTAAAAGTACTTTTAGTGGCTATCGATTCAGTATTAGCGGCAGTCGCAACTACCGCTAAAAGTATTTTTACCGTCTGTTATATATTTATACCAGCAGCCGAGAAACTTGTTGCAAGAACGTCTAGTGACAGAGTTCTTTTAGCAGCAGATTGCTGACTGTCGCTAAAAGTCATTTTTCATGTAGTGATAAGACATGGACAGATATTAAAGGACATCGTAAATATAACCTATGCTGTTAAAGAATTGAATGAGAGTGAGTCACTCAAACTCCAGTTACCATGCCTTTGGGAGGGAGAAGCCTCCGGAAACTTTCACGTGTTTTATTAAGGAAATTGCATTACACACGGGAGGATTACCATTGGCATTAGAAGTTTTTGGTTCTCTTTTGCTTGGTTAGAAACTAATAGAGTACTGGGAAGATACATTGCAGAAGTTGAGAAAGATTCTTCCAGATGACCTCCATAATTTGTTAAAGAAAAGTTATGATGCATTGGATGAAGAGAATAAACGGATATTCCTTGACATGTTTCTTTTCTAGCATGGACATGAGCAGAGAAAGTGCTATTGATATATTTAAGGGCTGTGGTTTCCATGCTGAGATAGCAATGACAACTTGCAATGCAGAGAAAGTGCTATTGATTTAAGATAGAGAAGATTTAAATGATATCAGAAAGAAAGTGAACTAGAAGTTAGGTTAATCCAATGTCTCCAAGGCAAACCAACAAGTTTTGACCCCAGAAGTTTGGCTGCAAGAAAAGTGATTACAACATCAATGTTTCTGTAAACTAAAAATTCACTAATGAACTTTTATCTATTTTTATTCTTTAGACTAGTTAACTATATTCTCAGACAATTATTTTTGATATTTAACATTAATTATATCAATAAGATAAAGGAAGTACAAAGATAACACAAATCTGAACACAAACAAAGATATACATAAGACAGATTACAAAGGGATCCCTGGCCCAGGCCAACCCCATTCACACCAGCTCAAGTTAAACTATCAGTTAAGGAGTTGGCTGATCTTGTGATCCACTTGAATGAGCAGTTCAGGTTTCTTCCCTAATTTCTGGCCTCCCTAACAAAAACTCTATACTGCAGGCTGGATCAACATCATTGTTGAGCCAAGAAATAACCACTTTACAATCGTTTTCCATGATGACCTCCCTCCATTTCTGCAAAGTCAACAGTTTAATCCCTCGAATTACTGCTAACAGTTCAGCCTTCAGAGAAATACCAAAGCCAACTAAACCATAAAGGTTAGTTTAATGGATCCAGTATCATCACTTGCCACAACACCAATCCTGGATTCACCAGGGTTTCCTAGACAACAATCATCAAAATTTAACTTGAGATTGCCTGCTTGTGGAGGCTGCCAGCATATAATCATCCGTGGACAGTGTGGGCTTTCCCATTGGCAATCCTGCAATAATCTACCATCCTCTTAACAGGTCATCCACATTAAATGCTTAACATACTAGCACCCCAATCATATTATTATTTTAAGGGAAGATGAAGAGCAAGGGAAGATTGGAAGTGGTTATTGGAGCAAAGCTTCTGGACTGGATGCTGATTCTACCAGAATTGGATGTGGTTGGAACCTTTACAAAAGCAGACAAAAGTATTTGGCCTGTATATGTAAAGGCTTTTGATTTGGGTCAAAGTTCATTTTATTTGAGGATTAGGGATCAGAGATCAATTAGACAACTGGTGGTAAGATTAGAAGCCAACTGTGGCAAGTATTGTCAAGAAGCACAGATTGATCCACTCAACCAAGGTCATGCCAAAGTAAGACAAATGGGAAAATGGTAGAAAGTTTCAGCAAGCCAACTGTTTCCCTTCTTTGTAATGCTAGTGATGAGACTAGCATTACAAGACTTTATCATTGATGGCATCATTTAAGGCTGGCAATGGGGGCTTTATCCTCCACATATAAGGCTGCAGTCAAGGCTAGCTGGACATTTACAGCACAATTTATAAAGCTGAACTTTGATGGATGAAACAAGGGTAACCCTGGTCAGTGAGCAAGGGCTGAACCTATTAAAGGATTTAAATTTCACACATCTGATAATTTAAGGGGATTCCAAAGTGGTTGTGGGCTGGCTGCAAAATGGGGACAAGGTTCTGTGGCTATTTAGTAATGTTATCAAGGAGATAAAAGAATTAATGTATAATTAGTTCAGTTGGGTTCATAGCCATTCCTTCATTCCTTGGCAAAGTCTTGTCCTTGGCATAAAAGAATTAATGTATAATTTGTTGTTGTTAACACTATTTCTGCATGGTTCTATGTGCATATAAACTTCAAGAAGCATTTTTCTAAAGAGAATTAGACAAAGATGTAGGTCAAACCTCCTCTATATAAATGGGACGTGTTTGGGGATTTTGGTGCTTGACAAAGCAATGGAGGAAAGAAAACATAGAACGTGAACCGTAAGAGGTGACCCAATCATCAAATCTATCACATTCTATTGCATGGTCTGATAAAATCTGCCCCAAAGAGAACATCCTTTAGCCTTGAAAGAACTCTTGAGATATGTACCAATTACTTCTAGATCCCTTCAATAGCTTGCCAATGTTACTGCTATTTTCCTTCAATACGGAGTCTCCCCACATTACTTTTAAGCTTTTACTGCTGGTAACATCACCTGCATTACTCTGATTTGTCCATTTTATTTGACCTGAATCATTCTCCTTGTTACATTACATTTAAACTAAACTTACTCTCCTTATCTCTTGAGCTGCTGCTACCTTTACCAAATCTGATTGAAGCTTCACCTTGCTGTTCTGTAGAGTTAGAATCTAACTGACCTTCCTCTACAACTGAGATGGACCATCTAACCAGTAGGGCTGCAACTTGGGTGAGCTTATACATAATGCAGAGCCAAGCCTTGAAGGATTCAGAGAAAGTTGTCACAGTGGTCATGTGGGTAGCAGCATACTGATTATTCATTACTTATAGTTATAACTTATAACATGTTACACTAAGGTCCAAGTTGTGTTTCTTTTAGTTATCATACACATCAAATCAGGGTGCAGATAGTATACCCAAAAGAAATCCCTAGCACTCACGGCACCTACCCTACCTTCCACATACTCCTTTCTGTGATAATCATCTTAACTCATACTGGTCAAAAAGATGGTCAATGTCATTCATCATTTATCCACTGAAGTGGTCTTGCGGTGAAGTGTGGTCATTGGTTTCAGCAATGAAGTCAGTCATCCACTCCGATTCCCGTTTTAAAGAAAAACATCTTAGGTACCTCTTCAAACTGATCTAGAAGGGTCTTCCCCCGTTTATTAAAATCTAATTCATGTGAAGACATTGCCAACATTTACTCTGATCGTACTGCATTCACTTTGGAGACTGCTAGTATTTTATTTCATAAAGACAACTGTTTCACAGCTGGAACATTTTCCTCTGGGATAGTAAACTTCTGTCGATCTAGGATAGATGTGTTGTCTTTGGCTGCATACTGACATTAAATGCATCACTAAGCAGTGTTGAAGCTGGTTTATCTATCTTGGGTGAGGGGAAGTTTCATTCATCTCTTACTGGGTCTTTCAATCCGTGTGATGTTTTCGTACTGTATTGTAACCATGCAGAACAACAAGGGTGACATCATCAATCTTTACAGTAATACCATAAATTATTGTGGTGTCAGTACCCGATTTTTGCTCGGTCCTATTGCCTGAATCTCCAATTCACCCCAAACACCTAATCAAACCCTTCGACTTTTCCGAAACACCCTAAAACCTAGAAAACCCAAATTTCACCCCGAAAGCCCTCAGATCCATCATTAAACCTGCCCGATACCTATCTGATGGCCCCAATCGACCCTCACTTACACATCAACCATTAGATTAGACACAACCATCAGACCTGGGACATCCCAAAACACTTACCCATGAAATTTGAACTCAAAGATTCTATTTCGACCATTCTCACGCCCACAACCCATATCCACTTGATCCGAACACATCTAAACCAATCAAACTTTTTCAATCACCCCAGAATACCAAAAAACCCCTACACCTCCAGTTAGCCTTAATCATACCGAGATTCCATTTCAAGGTTCAAGATTGACCGAATTACATATCTGCCCGATCCGGGCCTAGTTGGCTCAATCTGATTTTACCAATCATTTCAAACTACTCAAAAACCCTACTCTGAGAAATTTCACCCAAAATTGCCTTTATTTTTCCCTTCATCACACAAATATTTCATTTTGAACCCTCATATTAATCAAATCGAACCCTTTCCAGATCTGCCCAATCCAGGCCCATTCGGACCAATCTGACCCCGCAAATCAACCCAGAATGTCCAAAAACCCCACCCCATGAAATTTCCTTCAAAACTACTCCCGTTTACCTCTTCATCCAAAAAGATTCCATTTCGACCAATCTCATTAGCCTTCACGCATCAAAACCCTTATCAACCATCAGACCCATTTCAACCCGCCAATTTTTTGGACCGAAACCACCCACCATTGGACCAAAACCCCAATTTAACCCCTTTAACCCGATTTGACCCATTTTGTCGAACATTGTCAAAATACCCTCCCCCCAAAATTACTCAAAATTACGAAAATACCCCTGCCTCCCAGATAAACTCAACAATATCTCTCATTCGCCCTAATCCAGAAACATTCGGAAAATCCACTGTTCACTCTTTTGCTCCCATCGATACACAGCGGCAGAGCGGCGGACGATTTCTCCAACCACAGGCGACGGCACCCCCAACAAACCACTCTCTTCCACTTCTCCTTCTTTTTTCTTCTTTTTCTTCTTTTTCTTCTTTTTCTTCTTCTTCTTCTCCTCCTTCCTCTGTTTTCATCTTTGTCAGTCACCGCCGCTGCTTCGCGCATTGACGGTTTCTCCGCTCGCCCGTACTCCCTCTCTTTCTTCTCTCTCTCTTCTTCCTTCCCCTTTTTTGTTCTTCTTCTTCCTCTTTCCTTTTCTTTCTCGGATTCACCCTCCCCTGTTACTCCCCGCCGCTGCAACTTCGAGCAACGGCGTTTGCGCCGTTCGTTCTTTCCCTTCTCCCTCTTACCATTACCGTCAAGACCGGAAATCGATCAGATCCATAATCGTCGCTCTCTCTCTCTAGATCAAACCAGCATTTGTTCATCTTTGAAACGGCAGCTGCGAGCAAAGGTTCCAACATCGAATAACAGCAGCGACCTCCGGCCAGATCTCTCTATTACTCTCTCCTCCTTCTCATCGGTTCCCTGTCTTTCAGCTGAAACTGTTGATCGCCTTCCACTTTGGACATCCAGCAGAGGCGGCGGCAACCATCCCATCTGCTTTCCATCGAGATTCCTAATTTCAAGCACCGAACACCATGTCTGTTTGAGGCAAGAAGATAAACAACAGCACCCCTGTTCCAGCGATCGAACTCGGGCTAAGATCCGTTCTGAAACGCACTCCCTCATTCTCATCGTGTCATCCAAAGAAAAAACTTCGAAGCCGAAATATTCCATTGCAGCATTCTAAGTTCAAGCTACATTTCAGTCAGGTAACGCTCAATGTTTGTTTCTGCTCCATCGTTTTGGATTCATTCGTCTTCTTGTGTGCTTGTTGGCTTTACTATATATCTGCAGCTAGGAGGAGAGAGACCGGGTTAGATTAGCTCTTGTAACTCTCGGTACCAGTGCAGATTTTCTTCTTCTTTTGATAGTTGTGCAAGTTTTACTTTGAATCTATTGATTTCCCAATGGCTATTGTTTCTAGTCTTTCATTGGTTTTAGTTGAATCTATTGGCTTCAATCTTTGATTGTCGTTTAATTCGGTTCGTTCATTTTATTTCTATTTTGTTTATCGAGGTTGAAAGTTCTTTTTTAAATAGAATAGTTAAAAAGTGCAGAATAGTAGATTCTCTTATGCTTCTCTATTATTTTGTCTATTTTTTTTTATGACTTAATAAGATCCTCTGAAAGTTTAGTTCATGTTATGGAACTCTTTGTGATGTTTTATTTCTTATTCGTCTTATTATTCCTTTAGTGGATTGAATAATTGCTTATTTGCAGCCTTATAATCATGCTTGTTTGAGATTCCATGTGGGCTCCTTGGACTTGGGTGAGGGGTGCTTAACCCCTTCACCTCCCTTTCTAAACCTGATGGGTGGTGATTCCATTTCTAGCTTAAGTGGCAAGGGAGCCGTTTTATAGCTGCTTGTTGTTTTACTTCTGTAATTCCTTATTTGTCTATGCCCACTCTACAAACACGATTTGCGTTAGATTTTAGTATCCTATTTCCTATTAGGAGGGGGCTAGTAGATGCTAGGCCATTTGGCCAGCATCGACAACCCACAAACCAACCACCAACCAGAGAAGCCTGTTTGTCAGACGGGTGGAGGTTTGAAGGCTGGCAACCTTGTCGGAGCCTTGAGTCTAGGTGTCAAACCCTCCCCCTCATGCATCACACTCCATATAGTACACATGTGCCAACTTAGTCAGCTAGAATGTTAGCCACCTAGTTTGTTTGCTTGCATGCCCCTTGTGGGCCCACATCAAATAATAACATAAAGTCAAGAATAAAAAAGGAAGAAGATAAGAAAAAAAGTAAAAAATAAACAAAAAAATGAAGAATCCAAAAAATAAAAGAATATAAGATAAAAAAAAATTTAAACAAAAAAGAAGAAAAAGTAAAAACAAAAAAAGTAAAAAAGTAAAATAAAATTTGAAATACAAAAGGGGTAGTAAGGTTTAATTAAGCACAATACATAAGTGAAAATGAAAAAAAAATTATAAAAAATTAAAATCCAAAAAGTTAAAGAAGAGAAAGATAAAACAGAAAAAAGAAAAAAATCTAAAAAATCAAATAATAAAAGTAAAAGATAAATAAATAAAAAATATATAATGATAAATCCAACAAATCAAAAGAGAGAAATTAAAGGGCAAGTTTTTAAAAGAGAAAAAAAGGAATAAAAAACTAAAATTAAAAAAAAATCCAAAATTCATAAAAGGGGAAAATCCTAAATACAAAAAAACCATAAAAGAGGGAAATTCAAGGTAAAAAAGAGGAAAGTCATGATGTAAAAAAAAGAGAAAAGAAAAATAAAAAATAAAAAAAAGAAGATAAAAAATCAAAAGCAAAATACAAAAAAGGGAAAATCCAAAGTCCAAAATAATAGTAATAATAAATAAAAAATGGAAAATCAAAAAGAGAAAAAGGGGAAAACATAAAAAAAGGAAAAAACCTAAATATAAAAAAAAGGGAAATCTCAAATAAAAAGGGAGCAGAAGAAAAATCCCAAAAGATAAATATGGAAAATTCAAAAACCCAAAAAAAAGGGGTGGGAAAAGGAAAATCCAAAATAAAAAAAGGGGTGACAATGGGTGACAACAACCGAGTTCAAGTGCATGGAATAGGCACTGTTGTTATCACCACTCTGACTGGAAAGAAATTTATTAATGATGTAATGTATGTTCCTGGTTTAGCCCAAAACTTGTTAAGTTTGGGACAATTGATGAAGAAAGGTTACTATGTTGTTTTTGACAATGGTAGTTGCATGGTACATAATAAGAACGATAAGAAGTTGATGTTTTCCATTAGCATGACAGAAAATAAAATGTATCTAGTTATGTTTGCAAAGCTTGCAATCAATGCATTTACTGCATTTAGTGAAGATTCCATGGTGTGGCATAGACGATATGGGCATTTGCATTTTTGTGGGTTGCATGTGATGCATAAACTGAATATGGTTGTTGGTCTTCCACTTGTTAAAAATGATGGAAAAGTGTGTGAAGCTTGTGTGTATGGGAAATAACATTGTGAGAAGTTTCTAGTAGGAAAATCATGAAGAGCAAATAAACCATTGTTGTGCATGCTGACATATGTGGTCCTATGCAAACTGCTTCCTTTAGTGGGAATAAGTATTTCATTTTATTTGTTGATGATTACACAAGAATGAATTGGGTATATATTTCATGCAAGAAAAATCTGATGCCTTCTCCATTTTCAAACAACTTAAAGAACTTGTTGAGAAATAGTGTGGATGTTCTATTGTTACTTTACGTACTGATCATGGTGGTGAATTTTCTTCCAAAGAATTCAAGGAGTTTTGTAGTGCATAGGGATCCAAAGGCAGCTAACTGCTAGCACACCACAACAAAATTGTGTGGTTGAGCGCAAAAATAGGACCATTGTTGAAGCAGCAAGAAGCATGCTACAATATAAAGGGCTACCAAATGAATATTGGGCTGAAGTAGTAGCAACCACAGTTTACTTGATAAATTGATTTCTCACAACAGCAATCAAAGGTAGAACTCCATATGAAGCTTGGATAGGAAGAAAACCCAATGTAAGTCATCTAAAAATTTTTTGGTTCTATAGCCTATGCATTTGTACATTCAGAACAAAGGAAAAAATTAGATGCTAAAGTACAAAATGCACTTTCATTGGGTATAGTGAGGAGACGAGAGGCTATAAACTCTATAATCATACCTCTAAAAGATTAATCATAAGTCGTGATGTGATTTTTGATGAAAATAAAGCTTGGAATTGGGAAACTAATCAAAATGCGCCTTTATGTATTGAACCAAATGAAACCTTTATTGAGCCTATCCATGATATAACACCATCTGATTCTCCTCCTTCAATCCCTTCAAGGAAGATGAAAAGACTTGATGAGATATATGCTTCTTGTGAATTTGCTTTATGTGCTATGGAACCTAATTGTTTTGAAGATGCAATGACAAAAGAAGAATGGTGTAATGCAATGCAAGAAGAGATAGATGCTATTGTGAAAAAAGACACATGGACATTGGTTGATCTACCTCATGGTAAAGAAGCCATTGGATTGAAATGGATATTCAAGCCCAAATTTAATTTAGATGGAAGTCTTCAAAGGCACAAGGCACGCTTAATTGCAAAGGGGTATGCACAACAGCAATGTATTGATTTTTTTGAAACTTTTGGGATATGACATGGTAGAAGGAAGAAAAAAAGCAGAAAGAGATGCATTGTTAAAATTTACATGATATGTATATTTTATTCTAATGGATGAAGTATGAAATTGTAAAGGTAGCATATTATATGCTTATGAAAGTTCTTGATCAAGAATTACAAAAGTTTAAATTATGTTGCATTTTGGATTTTGGTACAGAGTTTTGTTAGTATTAGATTTTCTTGATTATTGTCAGCTTAAAATCAACTCTAGTGAATCATTCATCTATGATACAAATAACATCAATATTCCTGAATTAGATTTTGGTTCAAAAGCAGTAAATCATGTTCCATAAATAGTATTTAAATCAATAACATCAATATTCCAAAATATGAAATCTGGAATAAGAATTTGAAAAATAGAAATTCATATATGATATTATCAGAAATAGCAAGCAAATAGTGCAGAGATGTGAAGGAAAATTGAAAGAGCTAACGGAGCTTCTCAAAGCTTCTCAGAGTTGTGCGTAGAAAGAGATGTTAAGTCTGTGGATCCGAGATTTGGAATCCTAAACTAGCACCATCATCCATTCTTTTAATCTAGTGTCTTTCTTCAAAACTGCTACAGATATTGCTTTGGCCTCATTCTGCATTACAGCTTCCTATCCGCTAAATCCTTTGGAATAGAGTGAGAGGAGGTGAAAATGGTTATTTGGAGGAGGAGAAAGAGATTAGAATCAATCAACTTTCAAAAACAGACCTCAAATTAACAAACTAAATCAGAAAGAAAAAAGAAATAAAATTTCCAAGCCCTAACCTGTTTGCTATAGTTGTTTTTGAGGTGATTCATTCTTCTTATCCGCTCAAATCTCAAAAGAACTAGCCAAATCAATGATTGTCTCACTCTTCGATACTGAATGGAGGAGAAGGAGAAGCCAAACTGATTTTGGGCATAATCGTGAGTATCGTCTCACCATCACTTGCATTTTGGGCATAATCACATAAGAATGAAAGAAAAAAAAAATGTCATAAATTGTGGTGAATACCAAGACTACCCTTAGTGGCATGAAGTATAATACAGAGGCATCTATAAAGTGCCTCTACATAAGTTCCGTTACTCTATCGTAATTGACTTCTTATAGAGGCATTTTTTATCAAATGCCTCTGCCCTCCAGCCCTTAAAAGCAATCTTTCTAGTAGTGTATATTTCTTTTTTTTTTCTTTTGTATTTATTTACTTGTTGTTTACCTTTGAGCTTAAAAGCGGATAAAGGGACATTTGCCATTCATGCTTTCTTTTTTCGTCTTTAAGCCCAAAGGCCCCATTAATGTGATTCTCTGTTCTAGAGACTTTTCATGTCTAAGACATAATTCAACCTTCTAACGTATGTCTCCACTAGAAACTTTAATCATGTTATCTTTAGATTCAGTCACTGCAGATTTCTACGTTTCATACTCTTGCAACTATATTGATAACTTTTCCATCCCTTGTTGGTAAGTGTAGAGATAGCTAATAGACTATTAGTGTGTGTGTGGTTCCAGCCCCACACTTTATTTTACTGTTTATTTCTTTATGTTACAGTTTTGGTAGTCGGGCCGGTTGGGCCATGTTTATTTTTCTTTTGTTTTTAAGTAGGGGTATTAGAGTAACTCTACTTATTGTAAAGTCATGAATATATTTAAGATTTAGTGGGGCGGCCAAAATAATCTAACCACACCCTTTTCTCTTCTCTCTTCTTCTTCTTCTCTTTGAACCTAGGTTGACTTCTTTTCTTCTTTCTAAATTACATAAAAAAACACATTTTTTTTGATTCTTTTATTCAAGTTGGTATCAAAGCAAGGCGAGGAAAGATTAGGGTTCTTATGTGAGCTTGATCTTGTCGGCTACATGAGAACTCTTTAGAACTGGATTTTTTACAGTAGTGCCTGGTTCTTGGAGGTTGCTAGAGTATTGGAGACTGCCCAAGGAATTGAAAGATTCTTGGAGATTGCCCAATGACCAGGAAGAATGAAAGAAATCAAGTGCGACCAAGATTAGGGTTTCAATATGAGGTGGCGATCAGTGTTCTTCTAAGAAAGGTACAATCTTTAGTAAGGCCGATCTTGGTTAGAAGTAGTTTAAGCCTCTCTATAAGCAGCATCTAATAAATCTGAGTATTCCCTGCTGTTTTCTCCCTCGTTTAAAACCCTATGATCAGTTTTTTGAGGATTCAAAGACTGATTTTTGACTAATGATGAATTGGGGAGTTGACTTTTGACTATGGATGCTTTCCTTTTTGAGCATAAAAGAAATTCCTTTTTGGTTATTTTCTTGAAGTTTTTGACCTGTTAGTGTTGTACATAGAATGGAGAAGGCTAGAAGTGAGTTAAAAACTTAAGGGGAATGATTTTTAGGGACTTGTAGTATGACTGAAAATTCTTTTCAAATTATCACTGTTAGGTTTGATGGAACCAATTACTTTGAACGGGCCTAATCAACAATGATGGCCATTGGAGGTAGAGGTAAATAAGGTTATGTGACCGAAGACACAAAGAAGTCGGCCAAGGAAAACATATCACATCCCAAATGGGTTCAAGAGAACTATTTGGTGATGACTTGGCTATGCAACCTCAAATCAGCCGAAACTACCTTTGGGCAAAAACAATCAAGGAGATTTGGGATAACATGAAGGAGACATACTCCAAACCTCTTAATGTTGCTAGAGCTTATGAGTTGAAGTGTGAAGTGAATAATCTCAAGCAAGGGAGAAGCCTCAGTGTACTTTGCTACTCTGAAATCCCTATGGCATGAAATTGGTTACTTGGAAACTATTGAGCGAAAAAGTTAGAGAGATGCAACAACATATAGAAAGCTAATTGAAACAGATAGAGTTTTTGAGTTCTTAGCTGGTCTGAACTTAGATTTTGACATTGTAAGACAACAATTTCTTACTAGGGAGAGTGTGACATTATCTCAAGCCTACTCATTGGTTCATAGGGAAGAGAGTAGGAGGAAGGTTATGTTATCATCTCAGCCTTAGAAGCAACAAAATCTAACGTTGAAAGGGAGAAAGAAGGGGAAATGAAGAAGGAAGATAAAAGAGGCATTTTTTGTGATCATTGTAAGAAGCCAAAACATACTAGGGACACTTGTTGGAAGTTGCATCCCCACCTAATGCCAGTGAGACTCGGAAACAAGAAGGAAAGTGCTAATGTGGCAGTTATTACAGATAGTGCATCCACTTCCAGCATAAGGACCACATCCTTAGATGCCTTAATTGCTGTCCGGGCTGCCTTGACACAATTAGAGAATGAAGCTGGTATTTTTGGATCATCATCTCAGCATTCAGTTTCTACATCTACTAATCCTACTTTAGCCTTTGCTCACACAGGTACAAGAGCTACGACATATCATACTTCAGCCCCAAGTAACACTAGACCCTTCTAGGTGATAGATTCAGGTGCTTCTAACCATATGACCAGTTTATCCACCTTGTTTACCTCCTATTGTTTATCCTCTGGTAGAGACAAAGTATCTATTGTTGATGGTTCCTCGTGCCTGTTTCTAGCAAGGGAGATATCAAATTCTCGGATGCCATTTTCCTGTCCTCAGTTTTGCATGTCCCTAAGCTTAGTGCTAACTTGCTTTTAGTTAGTAGTATTACTAAGAGTCAAAATTGTTTAGTAACCTTTTTTCTTGTCTTTGTATTTTTCTAGATTTGGAAACAAGGAAGGTGATTGGAATTGGCTGTGAGATGAATGGAGTTTACCTGCTTGAGCATTTACAGGGGAAGCAGAAGTTGGGAAATTGTTTGTTTCTCAATCTTGGAGTCAGAGTATACTTTGGCATAACCGATTAGGTCATTTGTCTTTTGACCGATTAGGTCATTTGTCTTTTGGGTCTTTGAAGAGTTTGTTTCCAAATTTGTTTGAGTCAATCCAAGTGTCTACTTTGAGGTGTGAAAGTTGTGAACTTGCAAAACATTGTAGATTAACTTATTCTTTGAACAATAAAAGAAGCAATCTTCCTTTTGAAATTGTGCATACAGTTGTTTAGGGGTCATATCATATTCTTGCTATGAAGGGGGGGGGGTAAGGATACTTCTTGTTATTTGTTGATGATTATACTCATTTCTCGTGAGTTTACCTTATGCACTCTCGAGATGAGATCCCCTCTTTGACCCAAGCTTTCCATCAGATGGTACTAACCCAATTTGAAGTCAGGATCACAACTCTTAGATCTAATAATGCCAATGAGTACTTGGCATCATATCTCCTAGATCATGGGGTCATTCTTTAGAGCACTTGTCCCCATACACCTCAACAGAATGGGGTTGCTGAGAGAAAAAATAGACATCTTGAAGGTAGCCAAAAGCATCATGCTCAACTCTAATGTTCCCATATGCTTCTGGGGGATGCAATCCATATAGCTATTTACCTTATTATATAATTCCTTCACGGGTTCTAGACATGAAAACATTATTCAATCTTCTGTATCTAGACAATGACCCATTCACTATTCCCCTTAAAACTTTTGGGTGTACTTGTTTTGTTCAAATCCTTGGACTTTATCGTTCCAAATTTGATTCCAAAGTTGCTAAATGTATTTTCCTTAGGTATGCACAAAATCAAAAGGGATATTGCTGTTATGAGCCTGTTTTAGGGAGGCGTTTTGTGTCCATGGATGTCACTTTTTTTGAGGATATGCCCTACTATCATAGGACTTTTCCTTAGGGGGAGAGTAGTGACGAAGGGATTTCAGCCCCAAAAGTTCTATTAACTAATCCCAGTTACTGAGGGGGAGTGTAGTGAAGAGGGTTGTCAGAAGTGGAGGGAGTTGAGAGTGTATCACAGACAATGGTGGAGGCAGGTTGATTCCCGTCCTCAGTAGTCCAGGCCGATCCAAACACCTTCTTTAATAGTCTGTCCTCCTTGACCTTACTTGCTATCTATGTGGACGACATTGTGGTGACAGAAAGTCATATTAGTGAGATTGAATCTCTTAAGCAGCATCTTCACAAGGAATTTGAAGTGGATTTGGGGGAATTGTGCTATTTCCTAGGAATTGAGGTAGTTCAATCTAAGCATGAAATTTTTATCTTTCAAGAAAGTATGTTCTTGACTTATTGGAAGAAATTGAAAAGTTAGGAGTAAAGCCTGCTGACACACCCATTGAGTTAAACCATAAAATAAGTGCAAAAAGTGGAGAACTTCTTGAGGACATGGCTATGTATCAATGGT